TGTGTGTATATATATATATATATATATATATATATATATATATATATACATATTACATTTTGTATAAACATAGTATGTTAATAATAAGTCAATGTTATAGTACTAATTCTAATATATATTCTATAATATTCTTTTGAATCAGTTAGATATTAATAAAATTTATTATGTAATATATATTATAAACGACAAAAAATATTTAAAATAATGTAATAATGAATTTCAATAAATTTTGTAGGTTACTTCTAAACTAATAGTAGATAAAATCATATTATAAATATATAATTTATAAATTATTTATTTTTTATTTAATCAATAATTAATGATCAAAAATAATACATAATTTCCTTTCATATCCAATGTTGAATTATTCATGAACTAAATAAATATCGAAACATCGTATAAATTACGAAATGATGCAATCGACAACTTTCGAAAAAAATATTTTCTACCTTAACCTTATACCTTAACCTTTAAGAAAAATGAAACAGAATTCTTTTCAGACACTTCTAATTCAATTTTCTTATGATCAATCAAATATATTTTATAGAGTTATAAAAGAAAAACACGAATAAAAAAATCAATATTAATTTCTAAATCATTTCACGTATTCTTCAACGTCTTTTTATAACGATAAAATGCGCATGCGCCAAATATTTTAAACTTGTACGTAAAATTATGCATCAGTTTAATAATCACGAAAAGGACAATTGATAATATTCTAATCAACACAAATAAAGCATAATTAAAATCTTAAATAAAATAAAATAAAAATTATTAATATATTTAACGTATGAAAATTCCTTTTTGTACAAATTTCGTACAAATTCCTACCTTTTTTCTAGTTAGACACACAAAAAATCTATTACGCAATTTCGAAAATAAATTATCGGTTAACGAAAATACAGAAAAAACTATTCAATTTGCTTCTTTTTATTCACAAAAAACACACAAAAATATACGGAAATTTTTTACTAAACTAATGCACCATATTGAAATCGCGGGAAACACTCATTACATATAGTCACATTTTCAAGATCACATTTAAGAAACTACGTAAATATTAGATGACTGCATAAATTTGACATGCGATCTAGATTGCGAACTATGCTCCACCTACATTTATATTTTCGTAAACATCGATTACCTAATCTGAATTCTTTTATATTAATGATTATGAATTATCTATTTATAATATTAAATATGAAATAAAAAGATAAATGATAATATCAAAAGCATAAACATAGAAATTTAAAAAGAATATTATAAAATTTATATATACATATGATAAAAATTATAATGAATGTATATGTATAATCTATCATAGGTATATAATCTATGATATAATTTGAAAATCGCAAAAAGAAATTACTTTAGGAACGTCATCAATAGAAAGCAAAATAATAAAATAAAAATAAAAATAATGTAATTTTTTCTTGGAAAAAATTTTTTCCTGCAAAATAAAATGTAAAAAATATAGTATAGAAGAAAATATCTTACCTAATAGTATACAGAAATATCTAACAGTCAAGTATAAACCCTCATAACCTTATCGGACGAAGATAACATGAACTGGATTGATAAATGAAACATGATGTACAAGCAAGATATAATTCAAAAAATAAAGAAAATTAATAAGTAATAAATATAAAATCTATAAAAAAATATTAAAAAAAAATATTTTCGATTATTGCCAAGAGTTTATTATCATTCTAACCTAGCATGCTTACATATTTTTACCATTCGACTATGGATGAAACCAAACATCAAAATAAATATATTTTAATATAAACTATATTATTAAGAAAATAAACCAGTGTTATTAAGCTAAGATTGCGAAACCAAGAATAATATACAATTTACGAAAAAATTAATTAAAGACACGTGTTTCAATACATAAAAATGAATTCCAACAATAACAGATTATTTTTTTATTTTTTCTTCTCAATATGTAGATCATTGTATTTATTAATTATAAAAAAATATTGATTTGTATAAAAAAGAATAAAAAATACAATTTTTTTATATCTTTTAATAAAATTCTATGTATATACTCACAATAGCGGATACCACCATCTTTATATCCCGTTTCTTATTCGGTGACATGCGATTGAAATGGTTTATCGATATAATTTATTAATCAATCTGATTTCTCAAAGCGTTCATAATAAAGCGTTTCTTTACATTGTTTGTAATTTCTTTAGTTTTTTCGGGACATCATTTATCAAGTGAACTTTTAGTGTCTCAAAATTTAGAATATAACTCTCACAGGTTAAATCTTTCAAAGATTTAATAAGACGTATTTCACTTTAAGATTTGAAACATTGCAATGACAAACACGAAAGTTTCCTATGAAAAATAATTCAAAACAAAGGTTATAAAAGAACACGCGGTACACCGATGGCAATACTTATAGTATATAGTTTTTGCACTAGAGTTTACACTGAATATATTACACAGTTGGGTATAGATGGAAGCAGTGTATTAAAACGGGTTATCGACGACGAAGATACACCTTCGACAATCGAGAAAAACAGGCTTTAACACGAGAAAACAGCATCGCGTAACGTACCGTAAACTTGCGTGTAGAACACTTGCTTTAGCTAGACACATTTCTACGAAGAAGGAAAGTCATGGAGGATGCACGGATCGATGACTGGCTGGGAAACGGTCCCGGACAGAATGGCAAAATTCGCTGGTAATATCGCGCACTGTCACCGAATAAAATGGACTATTTGTAACCTCGTTTGACTACGCGACAATTGTCCCGTGCCCTTGTTTATCATAACGGGAACGCATTTTTTTTTTTGTTGTCGAACAAAAAAGACAGCGGGACCACGATACATCATGATAAAGAAAAATGTTTTCTGATAATTATTTTATAATTTCGAAAGATGACCTCGAGATTATGCAAGAATCACGATTACAGATAATGGTCAGAATGTATACATTCGATACTACGTAGATGATAGAATAACAATTCACAAATGGAATGTTCTACGATAAATGTCTAAAAACGAGTTGTGATTAGCAACATTTATTTCCGGTAAATAGATCAATGACTAGACTGAGAGCATGCGACCACGAGATACATTCGAAGGTTTCGAAAGCATGCACAACGTTAGACATACACGACATTCGTGTGTTTCCCAATAAATTTTATCGATAAGAAACACTCACTGCCAATGCTGAGAGTTCTCCATCGTGTTTTTCGCTTAGAACCCTTCTTGCCCATTTCTTGCGAAGACCGAGCTGGTCCTCCTCCCTTCTGTCTCTCGTCTCCCCAGCGATCTCGGCCAACCTTCTAGAACGACAGCTCCACCAAAACCATGTTGATCATGATTGATCTTGCCACTACCTTCGCGGTAGCATTTTATGAACTGTCCACCGACCAGTGTATCCCGCGTTACAAGTTTTTTTGAGAAAAAAGCTTTGGAACGAAACGAACCAACAAACGAGGCCTGCCCGTAGCAGAAGACAACTCTAATACGTAATCCGCGCCGCACGAATAGCGACCGCATACTGCTGTCCCCACCTCACCCCTCCCTGTTTGTCCCCACCTTTCTCGCACTGATCCCCCACCTCTTCTTGTGTCATACTCGATATATCGCGCTACACGTTCAATTTCTAAACATATTTCTACGATTTCAAAAGATTTTTTCATAAAAAGTATATACACATGATATTTCTAAACTAAATTATAATACAAGAGTGTATAGATATTGAATGTCATATAAATTTTCGGCAGTAAAACTAATTAAAAGTTTAAACTTTAAGGCTAAAACTTTTTGAATAGGAGCCATTTGTCACATGCGCAATAGTTTAATAATTCTGTGTCATGATTGGATGTTACCATAGTAACCAGAGTAAGCTTTTACCCGCCATTTTATCCGGCTTCAGACATTATATTAAGGTATAACCTTTTTCTATAAAATATTTTTAAAAATTTTTATTAAATTATTATTTATTCATTCTAATAATTGTATTTAATATTTTCGAGAAAATTATTTTATAAATTTATTATTTCTTATTTAAATATATAAAAAAATAAATATATTTCTTCATTTTTTTTTATTTTTATAGGTTAAGCAAATTTATTCATAAAACGAATAATCATGATGAAAATATTATCATTACATGAATTTGATGTTCCTTCCTCCGATGAATTGGCTACTGTCGCACTTATAGAAGATGTTTTACATTATTGTGAATATGAAAACCTAACGGATGAATTGCAACCCTTTTTTAAATATGTGCGAGAATATCCCGAGATTTCTATTACTCCTGATATTCTTGCAACACGTGAAACGGCACATACTATTTGTGCCGATGATTTATTTTTGCCAGTTCATGATAGTATTTTTAAAAAACTTGCTAGCATATGCAGAGAAAAAGGATTTGTTGAAGCTGTCTGTTTAGCTGCGTCTGCAGAACCACAGGAAGTGACACCAATTTTACATTGGATAGCTACAAGGTACCAATAACAATTAATATTTAAAATTTTTTATTTCATTTTTATTTAAAATGTTTCTTAATTTAAAATTTAGACTTAAATGGATGTTGGATATAATGGATAAAGGAATATATCAAAAAGAAATTTTGCCAACTTCTGGATCTGGATCAATTGCTGATATCGTTCATACAAGGGATTGGGAAACATCTCTTGTAAGCTATTGATATAAATGATTTGATTTTTTTATAATATATATTAAAGTTTTTATGATAATCTTTAGATTAGATGTCTTTCTTGGCATCCACATTGTACACGGCTGGCAGTAGTCACAAGAGATGACCGCATACGTATTTTTTCTCAAGGAATATCAATGGTACCAATTTTAAAACATAGTGCTCAAAAATCTGTTTGTTGTATAAGTTGGAGGCCACTTGCTGGCAAAGAATTGGCTGTGGCATGTCATGTAGGAGTTTTGGTTTGGACGATAGAATTAGGAGCAGCCAGTAATTTTCTTAGTCAAGCAGTGTTATTAAAACAAAGAAATCATGCTCCTGTAACAAGTGTTGCATGGCATCCACAGGGTGATCTATTAGTATCTTGTTCTCCTGTGGATACACGTATGTTTATCTGGGATACTTCTAAAAAAGAAGGTGTTCCGCTAAAACGAATTGGTGGCGATGGATTATGTTTTGTACATTGGTCATCTTGCGGTTTTAGATTATTTTCTGCTACATGTAAAAATATATTTAGGTATAATACTTTCAATATTTGTATTTTTATATAAATTTTATTTTATATATTGATGATTATATGTAGAGTATGGAATACGGGAGCAACAACATCGTGGCATGCAGATAAATGGACAGTGCCTAATGATCGTGTTGCAGTTGCATGTTTTGGTCCAAATTTAACTTTATTATTTGCATCAAATGAAGACCCTGGTACAATATTTTCTCTACCTTTGCAAGAAAATATTTTTGACGTCAAAAAACCTTCTTTCGACGATGCAAAAATGGCAGTACCTCTGATAGATTTAACGAAAGTTAATTTTTCACTGGATGATGATTGTGTTACTGTTGGTGGAAGGATAACTGCAATGGAATGGGATCCTACAGGAAAATATCTTGCTATTCTTTTCCAGGTATATTTTTTATTTTATTGAATCTAATTTAACTTAATTGAAAGCTTTATCTTAAATAATTTTAATAATAGATTTTTTTAATTATTTAGGATAGTCCATATATTGCATTAGTTAAAACAAAATTAGGACATCTATCACGTCTGATTGAGATTAAACCAAGTTGTCTTATTAAAGGATATCCGGGAGAAGTTCCAAATTGTATGAACTTCTATCAGAAATATAAAACTGAATCAGACAATATAGTTTGTTTAACAATTGCATGGAATAGTGGTCGTATTCAACATTTTCCAATAATTGAGAAGGAAAGTGTTCGTACTGTAAATATATGTACTACACCTTTATCACATTCATTTTCGATGAGGCACGACATGTACAATTTCAATTTAACCGTTAGTTATTGATAACGTTTCTTGTTAAACAAAACTATAAAAAAAATTTTAATTATTTAATTATTAAATTTTTTCAAATTTTTTATTTGTTAATAGGGTTTAATATAAAAGTTTAATTTTTTTTATTACATTGTTTATAAAAAGAATAAGAAAATGGTTCATTTGTATACGATATGACGTTCTCAACTGCCATATAACATTTCGACAGAAATTATATAATATTTCATAATCGATTCGTCAGCATGTCTAAAAGAAAAAAACATCGTTTAGACCTGTGTTAAACTCTAATGTGTTAGCTTCCTAACGTATGGGATATACAACACGATGATTCTCGGGTTCGGGTACCTAATTATACAAAGTCACATGCAGAGCGCACGTCTTTCTATTTTTATATCGCTTGACCGAATGCTGAACATCGACACGTATGTACGTATGTGATGAGTCCCGCACTATTTCCAATACGCTTTCCATCCACTTTTACCACTACCAACTCCAAACACAAATTAACCGCTACTGTTCCATCATTTTAGAAACCTTGTCATCCTAAATATATATTTCTCAAATCCAGTTTATCAATTTGCTCTGTCACTTTATTTATGATTTATGAAATATTATATGATACATCGAAAAAATATACTTAATATTTTTAATATAATTATTGCGTTTCATTTAAAATTGATCAGGCAGTCAAGATCATTGAGAAATATCCAAACAATATTTAGTACCATATATTTAATACTTTGCAATTCGTTATTGTTTCGTCTTTTTATTATACTAATTAATGATTTATTTTAGAAATAAATTTGAGCACTATAAAAAAAATCTTCTTAAGAGTCATAAAAGATTAAGATAGATTTATCTAACTTAAAAATTGAATATTAAAAAATTAAATTTTAAGATTTTTAGATAAATAATTGAATTTTAAATCAAAATCATTTCCAATTTCATTTCTAATTATAAAAAGTAATTTGCCGTAAGTGACGTGCCTAATCAATTATCAATATTATAAATAAACTGGTTTTAAAAATTCGAGTTTATCCACATAGAGGATCTAGAAGAGGGGATTAACCGCTTTGAATCCCCACCGATTAAAAATTCGTTAAAACACCTTTTTTTTTCTCTCCCTTCTTCATTCTCTCTCTGTTATTGCATCCGTATGGGGTGTACGATCGAAATCCTTTTTCCAGTATATTTATTTTAATGGCAGTCGTACACATGCGGTGACTATGGTACGAACAGAGTTGACAGGTGCCTGGACAAAAAAGCGTGGTCGAGAGCGGGCATAGTATGTATAATGTAAGCATAGAGGGCTGGCAGGCCACATGTGCCACTCTATCACTTATCTACCCGTAATATGACGTATAACTCGACCATAAGATGCAACTGTGAACGCATGTGTGTATATGTATGCGTGAATGCACAGTCAAGATGTATACGCGTATATATACAGGGGTGAGTGGGAGGATGAACGGACGTGTTTCTGTGTGTATGTCCGTTTGGAAGAAACCGAGAGCACCCAACTCTCGAGGATGTCGCGAGAACTGCTTTGGAATCATAACAATGCGTTTTGGACTGGACAACATTGATGAATTGCAAATAATCTCTCTTTCCTTTTTATTCTTCTTTGCTTTTTATTCTTGTTATCCAAAATATTGTTCTAATAGTTTATCTTGAATTATTATTGTAGATGACATTGGTGATAACAATAATGCTTATGAAGTTATGCATAAATGAAACTTGGTATATTTGATAAGTGAACTATTAAGGTGAAAATTACAATTAATTGAATAAATTGATTTTTTGGTTGTTTACGTTAATATTTGTCAATGATTTAAGGATAATATAAAGGTAATAATTGTTATTAAATAATTATTTAAATATTTTTGATTTTTTCAGCTATGTCAATTATAAGAATTTTTTTATATATTGTTCTTAGAATAGTATGATAGAAAAAGAAAATTGAGTGATATTAAACCTAATAATAAATAAAATAAAAATAATATGAAAAATGAGGGGAAAAAAATAAGGAATGTCATAAATCAATTTTTGATACTTAAGATTAATTGGCATCAGAAAAAAGTAATTAGTATTATAATCCTAATTACCAATATATTATATATTGTAAAATTATTAAAAATAGACATTTCTTATTTATCCTATTTTTATAAATTTGTATTTTTATAAATTTATTTGTATATATTATATATATTATTTTTTCTAATTTTATATTTAAATATTACTAATAAAATATATTTAAAACCATTTTTAAATTGAGCATTTAATTTATTAATAATATTTAATATATACTTTTCAAATTCTTCTTTACTTCTGTACAATATAATAACAATTTAAAATTACCTAATTGATTTCAGAAATGTGAACTCCAATCTCCAAGCCTCATAGGTATAATCAGCATCCTTAAAGCAAGAATACCACTTTATACCAAGAATCTTAAAATATCCTAATATGTTCAAAACAATGAATTATATATATGTTCTCAATCAAACATATATTTGCATAAAAGTTGATGATACAATTGAGGAAGAGGGAAACAAAGAAATCGATAAAATAATAGTAGACTGTAATAGAAGGAAGGAGTGAACGACTTATCCTCATATGTGCGCGCAAAGCTGTTGTTAATAAGTGACGCGTGTGCGGCAGCTGGTTTTACGTTTTTTGCCTTGCACCCGATTCTCGGGGTTCGAGCGACGAAAGATCGACCTAAGCACCCCCTTCTCTGCTATTTTCCTTGTTTCTGTCTCTTGCCTGAGTTCTGTTGTACCTCGATTTGGAATATTTCTTAATAGATTTTCATACAATAGATAGACATGCAACAGAATCAATCAATGGTGAACGAATGTTTTTTAACATTAATAATCGATTAGAAACAAATTTTAAAATTATATTTACTTTGAAAGATATTCGATTATGAAAAATTAAAATTTGTGTATCTATATTAATTGGTTAATTCATTTTAAATTGGAATTATTAGAACATTTAAAAATTTTTTAATTATTAACTTAAATTACTTTTTTACAACTTTGCAATTGAAGTTAAAAATTGTGAATCTTATCAATTTTCTCTATTGAATTTCTTTCATTAAATCGCAATTTTTTTTTATTTTCAAATCGCAATCAATCCATCAAGTTTTTTATCTTCAACAATGGCGTACATCATGCATCACCAGTCTAATTCATTCAAGATCTTCCAAATCATTATCCTTAAATAAATACATTCGATCTTTCTTCTTCCACAAGCCAATACCATTCGATCTTTTTTAGAGATCAAATGGATCCCTATGGAGCATCAAAAGGCAAGAACGTTAAACAACAAATGACGTAATATTGAAGCAGTTCATCAGCCCTGAAGACAATTCATCGGACATAATCGTTCCAAGAATCTAGGAATGAGTAAAAAAAACTCCCATAGAAGACGAATTCGAACGGGCAGCGAGGAAAAAGAGAGACGACAGACGCGCATGCAGATGTTTCGCGCCACCCTGAAACCGATGAGGCTGAGGCAAGTGCACAGAGATGCACACAAGTGTCGGAGGATCTTCTCCTCCTTCTTCTCCTCCTCCTCTTCTTTTCTGTTCCGTGTATCTCAAGGGGAACGAAGCACAGCCACGCGAGTGGGCGGCGCGTACCCTTCTCGAAAGCTTCTTCCCTTACTGTTCAAGCAGGGGTAGAGGGGATCTTCTGCTGTATCGTTTGCTGGAAGAACATTACGATGTCTTGTCTTAGCTGATAGTCGTCGAGAAGACGCGGGAACGAATGTATGCAGTCGAGTTATATGCATATCCAGGATCAGTTTAATTCTGAGCAACGTGTCTAATCATTTATTCGGCCACCCTACATCCAGTTCGTTCTTCCTTCTCCGCGATCTTGATCGCGCAAGTACACGTGACGCGTGGACCTTGATAAGTGATAAGCTTATCACTATATTGAAAGAGTTATTGAGAATCTGTCGAAGAGAAGAGATTTTCTGCGACTCGGTGCTTGTGGAGTTTATTTGGGCAGTTTAAAACTTGGATTTTGTAAGTGGACAGTGAAGAATCAGTTAGGTGGATATCGATGTTGATGTAATATGGTGCTTTTTATCAGTCAGTTGATCATTTGCATCGATGGATTTTGTCGATATTGATGATCAATTGTAAAAGAATCAATATTAAGTAAAAATGTCACGCAAATATAATAAATATCGTGACATCAATTGTGATTATAATTATTAATAGTGAAATCTTGAAGTTGAATAATTGAAATTAATTCTAATAAAAACGTAGAAAACAATAAAAAATCGATTGTTTAATAAGTTTCATGAATTGAAAATGTATTTTATTAATCTGTAAACATACATTTCATTCATAAATTCAATGATATAGCACAAGATTCTGGAATTCCAGAATCATATTTCTTTAAATACTATTTTACTCACGTGCTGTCCCCGATTATTCGAGCTATTATCGCTTCATATCATGCATGACGAATTGCAACATCTCGAATCATGTTTTTGACGTCTCCGTAACTTTCCATTCAATTTTCTCGCCAACTTACTGTACGCAATTTTGCAAATTTATTTAAATAACTTCTCTATAAGGTGAAAATTATTTCAACTTACTACATTAATATCATTCACGAACTTACAGATTGCACCAAGATGCATCTTGAAGATTATCACGTGAATAGAAGCGAGGAGGACGTGCAACGAACAATTTCCAAAAGTATCAAACAAGAAGATTTCAACAATTTACACTTAGCACCCATCACCACTATAAACACAAGTAATCAGCAACCATGTTGGATCACTTCTCACGCAGACAACGTTTCATCTCCTATTCTACCTAACAATTCCAGTCCTAAGGAATATACAGATTGGGATCAGCTCACGACCGTTTTCCAATATCCTTGTCAGCCGTATTCATCTACAGACAGGTCACCAGAAAGTACCAGTAGCGAGGCCACTACATCAACGTGGAATAACGTCATTCATAATGAAATATCAGACTGTTCCAATGGACAAAGACTGCCCTCGGTTGGTTCTGCATTTTCTTTCTCAAAAACCTTCTGCAACACCGTTTATCCAGAATATCAAAGTTATCAGGATTATCAGGAGTATCAGGATGACGTATCAGTGTCTTTGCCGCTTATTCTTCACAATCAAACCGAGGATCAAGGACTCAGTGGATCCATGCAAGCGATTACAGATGAATTTGATCTTAGTTTAATTAGGGGTGATCCTACGTCACTCTTGTGTAGCAATGTAGAATCTCCTTCTTCACCCTCGTCTACGTATTTGGAAGAACTTCAAGATCCATTTTCTAACTTGAATGGATCTTGTTACGCGGTTGGACACTTGGTCTCTGGACAACAGGCCTCGGTTTCCACGATGAATTTTGTTAATGATACTGGATTGAATGATGGATTTGGGAATCAAATTGTTTTGCCTAGAAACGAAGGATTATTATTGACTGACAGGAGAGTGCCAGTGTCCAAGACTGCGCAAACTATGGAGAAACGAAGCAAATCTTTCGGTGAGTTTGATGATTTTTCAATTGACACATTGTTCGTTGATCATTGGTGTACTTATATTAATTGTGAATTAATACAATAAATTGTTTTTCAAGTTTATCATATAATTATAAATAATGATATTGAACATTCATTTTCCACAATTTCTTTTAATCTCTGTATCCAAACTTTCTATTCCTCTTTCACAAAACTTGTTTTGCATTGATCATTGTTTCAAATGCAGCTATCAAAAAAGTTATATTATTTATAAGATAATTCAATACCATCTGAAAAATCATTTTTCTCGCACCTGGTGTACTTGGGAAGTAACATTGGGAAAGGAACTTGTGAAAGGACTTGTTTTAAGAATAACCACAAATAAACATAGACTAGTCGAGAAATGCCTCTTGACTACCATTCTCAAGTATAGCAAGTAGTTTCAAGTAGTTTTCCTTAATGAGTCTCGAGATTTACAGCTTGTTTACACACTGATGACACGTTGTTTCGTTTTCAGACAGTTCAACAACCGATGAAAATTTGACGTCGACGTATCAGTGCCGATGGATAGATTGCGGTTGCGCCTTTGCCGAACAAGAAGGGTTGGTTCGTCATATTGAGAGAAGGCACGTAGAATCTTCGTCATCGAATTCTCATGGACATGGGAGACGAGTCCAAAGAGACAGGGACAAGGATAAAGATAAAGAAGGGGAGACTTACGCGGGTTCCGGTAGTGGGCAAGATGAATTTGCTTGTTTGTGGCAAGGATGTCCTCGTGCTCGACCTTTTAATGCGAGATACAAGCTGTTGATTCATATGAGGGTTCATAGTGGAGAAAAACCGAATAAGTGTCCGGTATGTAAGTTTATTAAAGCTTTTAAAGCTTTTAAATATCTTGGTATTTCCCTATGGTAGACAAGATTTAATATTTTTATTAATAATAAATTTTGAAGATAGATTTGATTTAATTTAATTAATAGAATAGAATGTACGTGTAAATATATCATATATTGGATAAAAATGAAATATGATTTTTCACGATGAATATTTTGGAGTCAAATTGAAAAATCATAAATGAATATACAAAAAGATTTTTATATATAAGAAATTTTTTACACAAAATTTAATTTTTTAATTTTTATAGTTCACTGGGTGTAAGAAGGCATTTTCACGATTAGAAAATTTAAAAATTCACCAAAGATCTCACACAGGAGAAAGACCATATGCTTGTCAACATCGTGGTTGTTCCAAAGCATTTAGTAATAGTAGTGATCGTGCGAAACATCAGAGAACTCATTATGACACGGTGAGTTTATTATTATTTTATCTAATTGTAAATATATAAATTAATAAATCTATTTCACTTTTGATATCGAATATTAGAAGAGAAAATTATAATTAATAAAATTTAGATAAACAATAATATTGATTCAAAGAGATTAATATGATGTAGAATCTTATTTAATATATGTTTTATTGAATCAGCAATATATATAATTTCGAAACATATTTATCATATATTTTGATTTGAATTGCTTGCATATGTTTGATATTAATGTTTTAGAATAAATATCAGAAATTTTTGATTTAATATTTCTTCGTTACATAAGAATCACAATTGAGAAATATTTTATCATGAAACATACAAAATGTGAAATTTATCTTCAATTATACTTGTTATGAATAGGTAAAAGAACATTATATTTTCAATTACAATTACTTATTTAACGATTTAGAATAAGAATTTCATAATAATTCTTTGATATTTGTATGATGAAAATTATTCATTTCTTTAAAATAATCAAAACTTTGTTTACTATGATTTTTGTATAATTTAAATATATTTCTTTATAATTGATATTAGATAAAATATATTATGGAATATTACTTGATCATAAAAAAAAAATAATTTAAAGAAAACTGCTTATCGCTAATGTTGAAATTTTGTATCGTGAGAGGTCAGTGAGCATAAACCATATGTTGAAATCGTTTAAAAAGCTCGTCATTTTAAAATGTTAAAATTTTGCTGTTATATAATATAACAATATAAGCAACAATCTGCTTGTTAAATATTGGAATATTCAAAATCTCATTTTAAAATTTTCATGATTAAAAAAAAAATATATATATATATATATCCTCATTATTTTAAGCAAAGTACAGATCAATGTTTATAACACGTACTTATAAATGTTTGAATTTTCAGAAACCATATGCGTGTCAAGTAACCGGATGTGGAAAAAGGTATACAGATCCGTCCAGTTTGAGAAAACACGTGAAGAATCATTCAGAACCACCGATTCCACTGCCTAATCCTTCGTTAACGTCAGATAGCAAAAATTCTAGTAATATAATTAGTAATAGTAACTTACGGCATGATTCAATTTCTACGAGTTCGAAGCAGCAACAGCAACAGATCGGTTATACAGGGGAATCGAATTATCGAACGTATAAGACTTCGGAATCTTATGCGGACGAGGACGTGGATCTGTTCCAGACGAATCTGTGTCAGGTCGATAGGATTTCCATGAACCTTGACAGCAATCAAGAATATGTCCCTATCGATTCTGTGAAACGCTTTCTCATCGATGATGTCAGTGGATCGCACGTGGATGGTACAGGTAAAGAAAAAAAATCTATAATTAACGAAGATTTAGATCATTCATACATATTCTTCGTTAAAAAAAAAAAAAAAAAGAAAATGAGAAAATTGATAAAAAAAGTGAGAGTATTTTACGTACTTTTCTTTTAAGAAGCTTTATATTTTTTTATTATTTTTTCCTTTTCTTGACTTGATAAATTCATTACTTGAAATGAATTAATTAAAAAATTCTAAAAATATAGCAATTATTAAACATATTTAATATATCTCTAAAACCACAGACTTCATTAATTTCCTTAAATAGAAGAATTATTTTTAATTTTCTATTCTAATTTAGGACTACAAATGTATCAAATTTTAACAAAATTTAGATTAATACTTGTATCATATTAATATTTATGTTATTATATAAAAAACACATATCTTATTTACTATACAAAAAAATAATAAAAAATAATCAATTGTACAAAATAGTAAAAAATGAAAAGAGGAAAATGTGTTTGAGATCATGAATGGAACGTATTATAACGTAATATATACGTATACAAGAATTCATATAAATAAATTTTGAAAATGAAGAAACATACTTATCAGAAAATTTGAATGACTTCAACATCATCCTTTGTACATTTTATGATCAAAGGATGATCAAATGAAGGAAGAAAATGTTTCGTACAGGAAATTTCAATTTCAAATCCAAAACACATTGATAAAAATTCGAAGAACGCGCAGTAAAGCCAGCACGAGGCAAACATTTCGACAAAAAAGTCGGCCTATCGTTGTTCGCCGACCCGTACGAATCTTTATTGTACTGGTACCGCGCGTGCTGCCTTTTTCTGTCACGGTAAATGGTAACGATGCCGATGACAGTGCGCGTTTCGCTCCACCATGCTTAATCTCAGAGGAGGTTCAAACGCTTTACGCGTTTACCCCACACCGAGTCTTAAAATAATATTCTCGAGTTTTTTAGCCTGGAGCACACGCACGTACGCACGCGCCAAAACAGACGATGCGGCTGCCACGTGCGACACACGCGTACCCTTTTAAATTCCAGCCCTCTCGAAGCTGCGATTTCTATCAAATAATATAACTAGAGAGATAACATCAATTTCAATATTTTGTATTCGCGAATCCAAATTAATGGAAATACCTAAGTTTCATTTCGTCGAGTTTGCTTGTATCATTCATTAAAAATCAGATTGGAAATATGTTCAAATTTGATTAAAAAATATTAAGTATTCTCAATATTTTATAATATTATTATAATTCTAATACTCTCTAATTGTCTCTAAGCAATAATGGGAAGAAAGAGATAATCTACTTACCTCTTTTCTTTGAAAGAAAGAACTAATACTTTTCAATACTTTTAAATAATCTAATAAATGCTTTTAAGCATTCTTTATATAAGTATTATATGGATAAATGAAGAAAAAAAATTGTTCTTGATAGATTCAATATACATGAAAGTAGCTGTTGGCCGAAAATCCTTGTATCAAAAATTATACGTGACAATGAAGAAATTAAACAATTATTTATCTCTATTTTATCTATGTTATCTTCTTCAATTTCATCTCTTTACTATATATATATTTGCATACAAGAAATCATATAAGATAACTTTTTCAAAATTTTTATAATTTATATCTTGATTCAATTTAAAGTAATCTTTTTTTTTTATGCAAGTATTATGCAAATTTCTAATTAAATAATTTGCAATATATTATATTTAATCTCATTCTGTACATGATTATTTTAAAGATTCACTTTCCATTTGTAAATTTTTCAAAATTTATTTTCAATTCATGACAAATTTAATTAATTTAAAAATCACATCTTTTAAATCTTTGATTTAGTTTTATAAAATTAGTGTACTAGTAATCATTGATGTTTATTTTTTTCTTTTACAGGATACCAGGTCGAGGATGAAGTTCCTGATTTTCAAGAGCTTGGTTCAGATATTGAACAGCAGTTTTTTGAGTTAAGTAGTCTGGATGACGCGGTTTTCATTGATGGTTGAGGAAAATGTTTAGAGGAAAGAGATTCGATGCCTTCATGGTGAATACCAATATTTCCAAAGACTTTTTCCATTTTTTTTTTTTTGTACTTGATTTTTATACGCTGATTCAATTACTTGATAGATATATTTTTGTACATAGACGATTGTATATATTATGATTAAATATATGATTTTGATTCTTATCAGTTTTCATATTCCTTTGGATCGTATGGTTTCGTGTGGATTAGAAAGAAATCTGATTTCTTATCTTCTGAATTCTAATTAATAAAAATAAAATTAACATGATTTTTCATGTAAGAATAGGAAAATTTTCTTATGCTTATGCAAAAGATGAATAGTTTATTTTTGTATTTCTCATATATTGAGTCATATATAGTGACACTTTTTCCTGAATAATTATTCAGTTACAATTTCTTAATACAATGAATATATATTTTTTCAATACATAACTTTCCACACTAATCAATTTTATTAATAATTTTTCCACATGTCATAATCATTACACAAATGTTCAACAAAATACGTAATTTCATACAAAATACAATATCATTGCGAAAAATCAAGAAATTTGTTTTCACGAGTAAGAATTAGAATTCTCTTGTCCATATTGAATTTGTCATTAACTTACTATAGTAATCCCTCATGTGGATTATAGCTGCAGTTTGTATTAAAAATATGTGATCCACTCGCTACAAAGATCTTTTAGTAGCAAAAGGGTTAAGCAATGATTATTTACAAGTATTGCATTGAGACGGTTTCGTTCCATCCAAAGAGTCGCAAATTAATTTAAAGAAATTACTTTGTGCAGCGCTTTGTATCTCCCTTGAATTCACCTGGAATAGACGAGGGATTGATTAAACATAATCATGAATTTAAGAATGATTAAAGAATGATTCAGCATTAAATGAACGCGCATACAAAAGAAACGTGCTTGCAATATTGAGTACTCACTCCATTGATTGTGATCGTTGGAACAAAAGAGAGATCGGGTTTCAACTCTTGCGTTTTCTTGCCATATTCAACTAACAATTCATTGGATAGAGAGCTGTTAATGCATTCGTTAATGTTCGCTTGAGTTTGTTCGCTTAATCCTTCTTTTTCGGCGCACTAGAAGTTTAATCAGATTATTTATTTTTATAAAAAAATTTCATCTATTTTAAACACATAAAATTTTTGTGAAATTTTTAATAGTTTTTTAAAGAAGTTTTTTTATCGAAAATATCAAATTTCATAAATATAAATGTTTAAAAAATTTAAATATTATTAAAAATTAATAATAAAAATTAATAATAATGCAAAATAATAATTATTATTAAAAATATTGAGAAACGTGAATAATTCATTTATCACTTTAATATTTCTACTTATTCTATCAATATTTCTTAAAAATTGTGACATAAAGACAAAACATTAACTCTATAAATGTTTTTTTGCTGATAAAATCGAGTTTGTATTATCTAGAAATATTCTTATCTTGCTATTATATATAGCAATACTAGTAATTTGGTATTTTCAAAACTCTTAATATTTTCAATGTCTCTGGCTAATAATAAATTAAGAAAACAATTTTTTAATTATAAATATCTATATCTCATTTTTTACTCTAATATTTTTATTTTAATAATTTTAAATTTAAGTACTTATGAAATATACGAAACTTTTCAATCAGATCTCATTCAATTTTAACAATTATTTAATGTTTTTTTATTGGAAGTAATAATTTTTTATTGGAAGTATATGCAAATTTGTTTTATAAGAATTTTTTGTAAATGTGCATTTTTGTATATATGAATCATAAAATATGACTTCTAATTAGAAAATAATCGAAAATCTCGACGATCATATTGCTAAGAAGAAAATGATAAATAAATATATACCTCTAGAACGGAAGATGGTGGGAATTGCGACGTCATTGTACAACCAATCAAACTCACGGTAAGTTGTTGAGTTTTATCAGCCGATTCGTTGTTCTGTATCGCATGAATGCCGCATGCCTGGGCCTTATTCCCATTGCACTCGTCTATTCCATGTTGACACGAAAAGTGCCATTTTTGAGTGTTGGGATCTTGCCAGTACTATATATTTAAAATTAGATTTAATATTGTGTTCAGTACAATAAATTAATTTTTATAATTTCGTAAACTTGCTGGAAAACATAATATAACATAACATAACTTAAGATTTATATTTATTGATTTATTGATATAGAGAAACCATCGTTGCTTGTATTCTTTTCTTTTTTTTTTTTTATTATGAATAATCATGTAAGTAAGATTTCAAATCGTGAATTTTTAATTTGATATTTTAATATAATGTGATTCAAAATGATTATCTTTTAAAAAATCTTAATTTTTTAATCATTTCTAATTATGTCACAGTTGTAATGAATATGCAATGAATATGTGATAAGAAGTAATAGTATATGTGTAACAACATGATAATAACTTTTTTGAATTTCTTTTTAAACTGCATTTTTGTATTAATGTCAATCGTAAAAGTAAATATCAATATTAAGTTAAATTTATTAAATTAAGATTGCAAATAATATATAACGATTTTAAATATCAATAAATTAAAACTTTTAATTTGATCGATTAATTAAAAAAATCGATTAATTGTCAAAAATCATAATTGATTAAATGAAGAAAATATTTATTAATTTGCAAACAATTAAATTTATTGATTAATCATTAATTAATAATCGAAGTTAAATTAAATTTTTGTTTGATATATAACTAAAATAAATCGATACTATAAATGTAATTAAATAAAAATTAAAATAACTTCAGGATATAAAAAATTTTTATGATTAATCTTTAATCTATAATCTTTAATAATTATTTTTAATTCTTAAGAAGAGTTAAAAATTGATTAAATAAAGATTGCGATAAATAATATAAAATTTCAATTGAAATTTTCTTAATTGTATTAAATGTTTTCAAAATCGATATATTATAATAAAATGAGATAGAGGAAGTTTTAATGCAAACCATGACTCACCGTTGCTTTCCCATAGGGAATGAAAGAAACGCTGATGTAATCCTTTAGTATATCGTATTGAGGCAATAGTTGTTGCTTGATCCATCGTATGCTATCTGGACACAGCGATTCATAATAAACGTCAACATTTAATCTGTTTGTTGCTACATTGCCGGCCACCTATACAATTAGATAATAAATTATCATGAAATGATAATAAAAGTGCAATATCTAATTATGTTTATCATGTTTATGATCTTTTTTTCTAGAATTATAATAAAATATAATTAATTTTTAACGAAATTATATTCATTAGTGATCTACATTCCTTTATGTAATTGTCGGTATTTTTATGTTAAAAATTTATAATTGAAAGATAAAATTTTGATATATTTTATTTTTAAACAATATTCACAATTTATTTTTAATATAAAATTGTTATAATTATAATAATATTATTATGTAAATAATAATAAGTAAATAATAAATATTATTAATATGAATTAATAATTATTTTGAAAAATTCGGAAAAAGTGATAATAATGAAAAAATCATAGAAATTATCAGATAAGAGTTAATTAATAGATAAATTTATATAATCTAAATATATTTTTATATAAATATGTATTTCATATGTAATTTCTTATATTTCTCTTACTTCTAGAAAGAGTTAATTTATGTTTTTTCTTCTTTTCATTCATTGCAATATTTTATAATATTGTAAAATCTTTATATACTTCAAAATATTGCATATTCAAAATTTTAATAATTACAATTTATGAAATATTAGATTTTTTTTTTTGAAAAAATTCTATAAATATTTTAAAATTCATAACTTAGTTCACGATGAATTAATCAATAATAATTGTACTTCAATTGTGTGGATAGACAATATATTTTTCAATCTCTTGTGATTTTTAAAACAAAGAAATAACATCACCATGAATATCTAATAAACAGGTTCAGGTACTCAAGAATAAAACTTCTTTAAAACCGGATTTATTTTTAGCATTCCACTGTGTACAAAAATAGAAAGTTATTAGAGTTTCAAATTAAAATTATCAATCAATCATTAGGGATATTAATTTTTTTTCATTTTGTTGTTAAAGAAATTATCAGAAAAGACAAAAATATTGAAACAATGATATGATTACAAAATATTGCAAATAATTATTCTTCTTATCTAACATATCTTAACATATCGAAAGAAATTAGATTAAAATTTTTATATATATTCTAATTCACATTTTGTTAAATATAACTGATTTTTCTAAGTAATATAAAAATTCTTGAAAAATTAAAAAAATATATTATGAAAAATCAAATATAGAATTTTTTACATTAGAAAGTAATATTCTTAAAAAGAAAAAAAATAGTCGATATAAAGAAGAAAGTTGTTATTTAATTTATGCAGTTACTATTAGAAAGAATTAATTTTTATTTATAAATAATGTAAAAAACTATTAATTATTTTCTTTCGAATAAATAAAAGAAATATTGATAATATAAAGTTTTATATTATAATAATTAAATAATTATAGAGAATATTTTATATATACATTATTATTAATGAATGTTATGGATTAAATAAATGGATTAAATTTCGAGACGCAAATCTGTAATATTCTGCATGAATCATAAATCATAAATCATAAATTGGCTAGCGGCTACTATCACTTGAGGGTTAAAATAATATTCATGTTCGGTACAACTTGTAGACGACAGAATATTAGTAATAATATTGTTACTTTTATTACTTGTTAATAAAAAAAATATTTTTAAAAATAAAAATACAAAAATGAATTATCTATGTAAAATAGAAATCAATTAATTGCAATTTAAAAATAATTTGTTAAACTCCACTCTATACTTTTGTCCATTATAATCTCTTGTTTTTATTCAAACATATCCTTTTTTATATTTATGTTTTTAAAATTATGAATTTAATTTGCAATGCTTAATTTTCGATTGAAAAATTAGTTATATATGAATATAATAAAAATTAATTGATATACATATGATACATATGAAAATAAAAAAAATTCCACATTCCAAGTGACATATGGAAATATATGGAAATTTTCTATTTAGAATTATAATAGAAATACAATAGAAAAAAATTCTTTTAATTTAAAATTTCAATAAATAAAAATCTTGTATTCAAAATTTCAACTAAAAATTGTAAATTCTAAATAGACACACA